CTCCCCACTGAGTGAAGAGCTCAACACAGAACTCGATACCGGGACCCTGAGATCATGACCTGAGCCAAAATCAAGAATTGGATGCTCAACCAACTGAGCCACCCAGGCGCCCCTTTTAAGTTTTATTTATTTTTAAAAACAATTTTTTAAAGATTATTTATTTATTTATTTGACAGAGATACAGCAAGAGAGAGAACACAAGCAGGGGGAGTGGGAGAGGGAGAAGTAGGCTTCCCGCCCAGCAGGGAGCCCGATGCGGGGCCCATCCCAGGACCCTGGGATCATGACCTGAGCCGAAGGCAGACGCCTAATGACTGAGCCACCCAGGCACCCCAAAAATCTATTTTTTAAAAAGATTTATTTATTTATTTGAGAGAGAGAGAGAGCACAAGCAGGGGGAGGGGCAGAGGGAGAGGGAGAAGCAGGCTCCCTGCTGAGCAGGGAGCCCAATGCAGGCTTGATCCCAGGATCTTGGGGTCATGACCAAAGCCAAAAGCAGATGCCCAACCGACTGAGCCATCCAGGCACTCCGCCCCCCCTTTTAAAAAAGATTTTATTTTTAAGTAATCTCTGTACCCAACATGGGACTCGAACTCATAACCCCAAGATCAAGAGTCCCAAGCTCCATCCATCAACTGAGACAGCCAGGCACCCCTGTTTTCACTTTCTTGATAGTCCTTTGACACATAAAAGTTTTTAATTTTGATGAAATCTAGTTTTTTTTTTCCTTTGGTTGCTTGTCCTGTTGGTGTCATATTTTGCATATGTCTATCCAGCTGTCCCAGCACCATTTGTTGAAAGACTATCTTTTCCCCATTGAATGGTCTTGGCACCTTGTGGAAAATCAATTATTCATAGATGTATGGATTTATTTCTGGACTCTCAGTTCTATTCCATTGATATATATACTTATCCTTATGCTGGTACCATGTTGTTTTGATTACTGTAGCTTTGTGAATTCTCTACTTTTATTATTGCAAGCCTGCTCCTGAGTACATTTGTGTATTGTGAACAGTATTTTGTATTTTTCTTTTCACTTTTTGGGGAACACACACTTCTGTGTGGATCATTTGCATAATCAGTACCCTTGTCATTTAAAATAATTATGAAGTGTTTGTTTTATTTTGCCTTGCTCTGCTGTGCTATTTTTGTTAAGTTTTTATTTTACCTGTTTTCTGGGTTGCTTTTAACTTTTCTAGATCGCCTTGTTTGCACTGTTTCTTCTGGACCCAGACTCATTAGCTATCAAGCCTCCCCGCCTCGATGTCAGAGAATGCTGGCTGCTTTTTTAGGTCATCCTCATAGAAACGCAGACTACTCCGATCTGCCTCAGCTCAGACCCAATACTTCCTGCCAGTTGTGAGTTCAGTTTCTGGGGTAGAAGGCCTCTAAGGAAACCTCTTTCTTGGACCACAGCTGTGCAGAGATCAAGAGTGGCTCCAACCTTACAATCTGCTGTATGCTTATTTGTGAATAACCATTCCTGAGATGTCACACTGATGAGACACATGGGAAAGAACCTGTCTTTTGAACTTTTCTTATGCTGCCAAAACAAGCATTTACAAGTGCTGTTTCCATATGTAATATGTCCCTGCCTTTAGAAAGGAGGAGCTTCCAGAGATTATGGGATTTGTTCAAGGTTGTCCAGTGACCTTACAGTGCTACTGGGAACAGAATTAATCCCCGACTCCCATTGATCCCCTTCTCATCATCATTACCACACACTCCTTCCTTATTGGGCAACAGAAGATAGAATTTACTTTTCAGTATTTTCCCCAAGGGAGGTTTTGAGTTTCTTCCCCGCTTTGGTAAATAACACAGGTAAGGAGCCTCAGTGAATAACTTGCATTCATTGTACCATTCTTTGAAGGATCAAGATCATGGGCTCTGGCAACAGATCTATGAGAGAAGTGGGGACAGGTGAGAAAATGTTCACAGCCTCAGTGTGTTCTGAACTCTTTAGGAATTTTGGATGAGCAGAGATGCTCAGTTTTCCCCCATAACAAATAGGATGTCTTCTGTGAAACTTGTCTGTAGTGGTTATTGATCAAATTGTTGGTATATATGAAATTTTCCTATGGGAATTTTCAAAGATATGCAGAAGTAGAGAGAATAATATAATGAATTAGCAGGTACCTGCCACCCAGCTATTGGAATCATCAACATGTGGCCAATCTTGTTTTATCTCTACTTCCATTTACTCCTTTTCCCCACTGGATTATTTTGAAACAAAATCAGTATATTGATCAAGTTTTCAGTTTCTACTTGTTCTTGAAGCTATTTCCCTTAGATACTGGGATGTGTGCTCTCATTTAGATTGCTTTTAGCAGCTTTATTGGGCCTGACATTCTTTCTCTGGCAGTTTTTTGCATTGGTAGAATCATAGGTGTTTTCTGGCCTCAAACTCTGTTCTTTTGTCTCTCCCACTCCCAGGGTTCTATGAACCTATCATGCATGCACTTTGATCCAAGTGCCTAGACCTCACTTACCTATTCTCCCTCCTAGTTCACCAACTTTAATGTATGAGGTTAGGGACTTCAGCAGTCTTTGTCATTAATTACTCTATATGCAATGCCTAGTCTGGCATGTAGTAGGTGCTTAGTAAATAGTTGTTGATGACTGAATGGATGAATTCCCTTTGGCTTTCCACTCACCTGAACCTCACAACCAGCTGTTTTAACAGGGCACTTGGTTCTGTGTATCTTAAATGAGGAGAAAATTAGCTGAACCTCTTTAGAAGTAGCTTTTATCCTTGACCCCTTTTGTCTAGCTGAAGAATCTGAATTTTCCTGGCTCCCCCTACTGGTCTCTCCGGGGTAGTTGCATACAGGTGCCGCTGGTGGCAAAGGGTTGGAGCCAGAGGCGGGTTCTGCCAAGGGAAAATAGAACATTGTTGTGGAGTGCCCTAGCCAGTCCAGGCAGGTCTGAGAAGGAAGAGAGCAGCTTGTTGAAAACAGTTCAGGGAAGTGCAGCTTTCTGTATAAGGGGCAGGGAAGGTAGCCCAATGCCAGCTAAGGTCAGAAGAGCAGGGTTGGAGGCTGCAGCACCTGAAGACCATGAGTATCATGACCACATGGACCCATAAATAAGCTGGTCGTTATGTGGGAATCAGCCTCTATATTGAGAATAGAGATGTGCTCCTTCTCCCCTTAAGACAAAGCACCCTGAGATCAGACATAGTCACCATGCAGGTTGAGTGGCTACCGAGTTTTATTTTGGCCTCCTGTGAAAGTTGAACCAAGTGGGGTGGTGAATGTAGATGGGAGCGTCCCTAGAGTTCATGGTCTTATGTGACCCCATCTCCCAACTCTTAAGACCAGTAACAACTCTGTGGAGCTCTGGGTGTATGCTCTGCTAGGTCCTCCTCCTTCCACCCTCCATAAATACAATAAATGCCCCATACCTACCCACTTCCTAGATCACATTTCTTGGTTATTTACATGTATTTGTCTTTACCACAGTGCAACTTCCCAGAAAGTGGGCTGTGGCAGAATGCATCTTGCCAGACTCCAAACTACAGACATCAGGAAGAGCGTTAAAGATGGTCAGACACTAAGGGCAAATCCCCTCCTCTTCTCTCCAACCCCAAACCCCAAGTGCCAGGGCAATTACACTTAAAGTTGAACATGGAAATAGGCTTTTGTTACCCTTCCTTCCTAGAAGGAAGCATGTGATTTTCCCCAATACACAAGGAAGGGAACCCAATCCAGAAGAACCCAAGGGCATGAAAATTGCCACCAGACTTGGGCAGGTATATCTATGAAATGGTCATTATAAAGAAATGTTTGGAAAGAATTCACTTCTTTACTGGGTATTGGGAATGTAGCAGTGGGCAAAGTCCAGCATTTTAGTGGGAGAAGGTAGACCATAACCAGATAAATATGTAATATGTCAGGGGTGCTAACTGCTAAGAAAGGAGAAAAAGCAGGAAAGAAGGATAGGGCAAGAGTGTGTTGTTTTAAATTTGGTGATCAGGGAAAACAACTCTGTTGAGGTGAGGGAGCAAGTCCTGTGATCATCTGGAGAAAGAATATTCATGGCAAAGGAACTAGAGAGTGCAAAGGCCCTGAAGCAGGAGCATGCTTGGCTTGTGGGAGGAACAGTGAGAAGATGGTGTGGCTGGGGCTAAGTGACTGACAGAGAGAGTGGTAGGAGCAAGGTCAGAGAGGAAACCAGTGGCCAGATCATAATGGGGCCTTGTACACCTTGGCAGGGGATTTGGGGTTTGCTTTAAGTGAGATGGAAAACCACTGAAGGGTTTGAAAACAAAAATGATGTGAACCAACTTAGGTTTGACAAGGCTTACTCTGGCTGCAGTGTGGAGTCGATCACAGCGAAGCAAGGGTAGAGGAGGAAGACCAACTGGAGGATGGTTGCCAGAGAGAGGTGATGTGGCTTGGACGGGGTAGTAGCAGAAGTGGGAAGAAGCTATTGACTAGTAGGTTTGATTTAAAAGTCAGCAGGGTCTGCTGAGGGATTGGATGTGGGTGGGGTGTGAGAGGAGGAGAGGGCCACAGCTACCTGCAAGGGTTTTGGCTTGCATCACTGGAAGAATGGAGTTGCTGTTTAACTGAGATGGAGAAGACTGGGAGAAGAGCTGGGTTGGGGGGGGGCGATATTCACCAGTTCTGTTTCTACCTATTAAGTGAAATATCTATTTGATCTCTAAGTGGAGGTATCCATTTCAAATAATAGTAGACATTCTTGAGGCACCTGGGTGGCTCAGTTGTTAAGCGTCTGCCTTCAGCTCAGGTCATGATCCCAGGGTCCTGGGATCGAGCCCCGTATCGGGCTCCCTGCTCAGCGGGAAGTCTGCTTCTCCCTCTCCCACTCCCCGTGATTGTGTTCCCTCTCTTGCTGTGTCTCTCTCTGTCAAATAAATAAATAAAACCTTTTAAAAAATCAAATAATAGTAGACATTCCAAATAATAGGCTCCTCAAAGTAATAATAATAGGGAATATTGTTTACATAGTGCTTTATAGTTGATAGTGCTCCCACATACATTATCTTGTTCTGTTTCCACATCACCCACATAAGGTAGTTTGTTTTCTGTTTTACAGGTAAGGAAGCTGAGATTCAGAAAGTTCTGCACAAGAGAGCCAGTGTTTTGATGTTGCCACACAGAGGAAGATGGCAACCAGCAGCCATTTAGCCTTGAAGAGCAGCAACCAACCATCAGAGAGACCCTGGCTTTCCCTTAGTTGTCAGGTAGGAAGACCTGGGCCTCCCTAGCTCTGTCCCCAGCCCTCCCACAGAGAGGAACCAGCGCGGAAGTGGAGGACAGGCTGTGTTCCCCTACCCTCGCCTCAAACCCCCAGAGCCATGGCCAGGTCTAACTTCCCTGGGAAGGGGCAGAGCGGAGCTTTGAAGGGAACTTGAGATGGACATTTCAAAAATGAATATTTTTATTGTATAAACATTTAAAATTAATCTTAAATACCAGAAGGAGACTATTTGAGTTCCTGAAAGTAGCTGAGAATCATGGCATCCATCATTAAGCTACCCAGTGAGAAAAGGGGGTCTGGCATTGTGTCACTGAGGGCAGCTATTGAAAAAGATCAGAAACCTTCAAGTTTATCCAGGATAAGATGCTGGGATAAACCAGTGGCAATTGCATTTCTTTCCAGTCTTTTTCCCCATGTATCTTTTTAACATTGTTCAGATCTTATCACATAGGCAATTTTGTTTTTCCATAACCTGCTGTTTTCTCATCACTACTTTTGATACAAACATTTCCCCCCATGGTACTAACCGTTTTTTGTAATCATCATTTTCAAATGATTGTTTATTAACCAGCCATTTAGGCTGCTTCCACAATTTATATACATCTTTTTGCATTAAGCTGCTGAGGCTTACTTTGTTAGATATCTTCCAAAAAGTAGAATTACTGGTTTAAAAGATATAAACATTTTTAGGCTTTTGGTAAATTCTAATAATTTTCCAGAAAAGTTCTGCCATTGGTATAGAAAAGTAAGAGTGAGCCTTGGAATCAAGATCTTCTGATTCTAAATCTCAGGTTTTTTTTTTTTTCTGTGCTGGTTTTCTTCTTGTGAAATGGAGACAAGTGTATGTGTCATGATCACAAGAATCAGAACTGTGTCCTCAATAAATAGCAGTAGTTCTTGTTATAATGAAAGAAGATTTGCAGAATTCCCCTAGGAAATTGTCTTTGTTCAGTCACCCACACTGGCCCCCACATTGGAGCACAGTCTGCCCTAACTAGTTCTTCTCAGTCTGACGGCTGGCTGACTTTTCCCCAGCAGCTCCTACACAGTCTGAAATGGCCCTTTTCTCCCTCAGTGGCATGAAGGGATTTGTCACTTTGATCGTCAGCTGGTATCTGGACTTCAGATATTTCTGGACTGGTATCTGCCCATGTCCTTCCTTCTCTGAGCCCTCTTGCTCCTCCCCCACCCATCCTACATCTTCAAGTCCTAAGGGTGTTCCAGGGTCCTACTCTAATGGCATCTTCTCTCACCCGGCTGGCACATCATCCTTCTCCAAATCATCAGAGAATTTATTTTCCCTTACCTCCCATGTTATATTTTCTCTTGTGGTACCAACATCTGTTTAGGTATATGTCCCATGTCCTGTACAACTCTGTATGCTTAAGCTCCTTGAGAACAGGAATTCAGTCTTTCTTAGCACACAGTAGCCACTCAGAATATCTGTTGGATGAATTAGTGGTTACTCAGTGCCAAGCACTATTCTAGGTATTGGAAATACAGAAATGAATTATCTTTGCATGAATCCCATTTGCAAAGAAACCTGATCTCATATGGGGAGATAGATTCATAAAAAGATGATGCAAGAGTAGAAATATGCACAGAACAGGGCGATGGCACAGAGGGAAACACAGCGATGGAGCCCTGGGCTCCACAGTCTGAGCAGTTCAGGATTGGTCAGCTCTACCAACTTCACAGCTATGTGACAATGGCAATTACTTAATATCTCTGGGCCTCAGTGAGAATAAAATAGTAGCTACCCCATAGGGTAGTTGATATACATAAGGCCTCTGGCGCAGTGCATGGTACATGGTAGTGATGTAATAAATGAAAACTCTCTTCTGGAGGAACAGAGAAAGCTGTACAGACAAGGGGCTATGTGAACTGAGCTTCTGAATAAAAATTCCTCAGGTATGCAAGAGATAAGGACTTAACAGGCAGAGGAAACTACATGAATGAGCAAATAGTTTATCATCATCCAAAAACAAAAAAAAAAAACAAAAAAACCCACAAGCCCTGCCACTCGTGGAGCTTGTGCTCCTTAACATGATGCCAAAACATTCAGCAGGCTCAGGGCACAGATTTTGACTCAGAAGAGAAAATCAGAAGAGAATGCCCTTGAAGGAGAGAGGGAGATGTCAATAATCACGCAGTTTCCTCTCCAGTGTTGCCACAGGCTTCGACCTCTGCCTGGTATGGACTGGCCATGGGGTAGGGCACCAGATTTAGGGAGGGCAGCAGATTTTCCTTGAAGCAAAAATAAGTTATTTTCCTGTTGTACCCATCCACAGTGATACAAAGAAGCTTTATTCAGAGGCACCTACCTCCACACTGCCCTGTTCTCAAAGGAAACATGTTTTGTTAGGACAGATTTCTTCCCTTAGATAAATATTTGGTATTTCCCTTCACAGAAGTTTAGCAAGAGATGCAGATCCAGACATTTATTGCTCTGCCCTCCTCCTCTCCACCCCCAGGGAGAATGCTTCACGGGGTCTAAAGGCATCCTGCACTCTTGGAGAGGTTCAGAGGAGGGTCAGAGGTAGCCATGAGAGGGGGGAGGGGAGTGTGTAAGGACTAGAATTCTAGAGGCTCTGCTGCCAGGCACTCAGTGGCCAGGCACGATTATGTAAATTGGAGGAAATCCCACCAGCCTGCTTTCTCCAAGGCCCAGAATGAATTTTAGAGATGCTGGTGATAACTTTAGGGCAAGTTTTAGGTAACTTCAGGATGAGTGCTGACTACTATCATTCAAATGTAAGAGGGGGCATGACCGTGGAATTTCCTCCTGCAAGGGGCACTCAAGAGAACTGTGAAATTCTGAATTCACTGCCCAAGCTAGCAGCCTGGTGCTTCATCCCTGGTGCTTCAGAGTCCAGACCTTTCAGAAAAGTCAGAAAGCAGAGATAAATCAGCCCTAAGGAAGAACTGGAGCAAGCAGTAACAGGATTCATTCACCACTCCCTACAACGCCTTCCTTTTGCCAGCTCCCTGACTACCCTTTCCCCTTGACCTTCCTCCTCTACTTCTACCCTCCTCTACTTCTACAAACAAAAGGACCAGAAAACAGGATAGGTGACCTGGGCAGGCCATTCTTGTTCTGAGCACATTAGGCCCTTCTTTGCGTAGGCTCTGGAGTTCTTGGAACGACCTTGGTTAGGGGATGTGGCATTGCACTCTGCAGGGATCGATGGATTGATCCGCAGACCAAGAAATCACAATCTCTGGGTGTCAGAGCAGCTTAACTCACACAAACCGTGAGCCCATGGTAGGCTGGGACCCCTGTCTGGGTGAAATCCAAGATTTGAAATCCGGGGAGGGCCTGGAGAAATGCCCTTGGACAGTGGTCAGTAAACTCTAGCCGGGGGGCCAACCTGTTTTTGTACAGCCTGTGAGCTATGAATGGTTTTTACATTTTTTAATGGTTGTGGGAAAATCAAAAGAAGAATAATATTTTGTAACATGTAAAAATTATATGAAATTCAGATTTCAGCATCCATCAGTGAAGTTTTTTTTTTTTTTAAGTTTTATTTATTATTCATGAAAGTCAGAGAGAGAGAGAGGCAGAGGCAGAGGGAGAAGCAGGCTCCCCGCCTAGCAGGGAGCCCGATGCGGAACTCGATCCCAGGACCCTGGGATCATGACCTGAGCCGAAGGCAGACGCTTAACCATCTGAGCCACCCAGGCGCCCCCATCAGTGAAGTTTTATTGGCACAGGCCATGCCCATCCATCTATGTATTATCTGTGCCAGACTGCTCTTACACAAGGGGCAGAGCTGAGTAGCTGTGACAGAGACCATAGGCCCACAAAGCTGAAAATGTTTACCCTCTGGCTCTTTACAGAAAAAGTTTGCCTATGTTCATTTTTAGGAGGGTGTAGTCTGGTGAGGGAGATAGTACAGGTTTTTGAGTATTTCCTAATGTGCTCATAGATACCAGTCCATGTAATCCTCACAGCAGCCGTGTGAATGAGAAACTGTTACCCTTGTTTTCCACACCAGGAAAAGGAGACACACCTGCCAAAGGTCACCCAGTTGGAAAGTGCTGGCACTGGGATCTGCACCAAGCTGGCTGTCCCTGGAGATCCCCGTGAACCAGGGCACAGTGGTGACGACCCAGGAGAGCAGCAGCAATGAAGGTTGTGGAAAGGGTAAGATTCAGATGCCCAGAGCTGCAGAGGAAGAGCTTTCCAGGCAGAGGGCATTCCGTGGGTAAAGACCCGGCCCTGGGAATGAATGGTGTGCACGGAGAATGGAAGGAGCTGAGTGGGAGCTCCCAGGACAGCTGGGGTCAAGCCGTGGCACTCCTGAGTGCAGGGCAGCAACAAAGAAACAGACTCTGGGCCTAGGTTCAGGTCCTCGGTGTACCACTTAAAGCTGTGTGTTTGGGGTGAGTTGCTTAACTGTAAAAATAGTCCCTAACTCTTTGGGCAGTTGTTAAGGACAGACTGAATTTAATATATGTGAAGTGTTTAGAAGGGCACCTGGCACTTAGTAAACACAACGTATGTTGTTATTATTAAGGTTATTATTGTCAGAAACTGGATGTGATTTGAAGATTGGCATAAGTAAAGGCCTGATACATGAAAAATGAAAGCACAAGTGGGGACTTGTGCTTGGGGCATACCAAGTAGGAAAAGTGGGACTGGAGCCAGGGAAATACAGAGGAGGCAAGTTGCTGTGGAGAGTCAGTTTTGGGGGTCCCCAAAGGCTCTAGAGGGACAGAGGCAGAGAGCAGGAACAGAGGGGGCCAGGGAAGGGGCTGAAGTTCATTCTCACTCATGGGGAGCCTGGCTTTGTGCCCAGCACCTGGTATACATTATTAATCCTCACTACAACCCTTCCAAGTCAGTCCCTCATCATCCCCACTTTACAGACAAGGAAGCCAAGGCTTGGAGAACTGCCAGAATTGTAAAAAGTATCTCACAAAATATATCCTGAGACTGGCCACAGCCCCAGACCTGCCAGGCCCCCAGGTCCCACCCACTTCTGCCTATCAGTGGTCAGATTTCTTGGGTAGTCCTGTGCACCAGGGTTCCTTGGTGCCACGGGACTTCCTTAATCTCTGCCAGGGGCAGAGATGGGCGATCAATGCTGTGGGGAAGTGAGACCAGTGCCCAGTCTTTGCCCAGGCTATCAGGTAGTGGCTAGATGGGTTCCTGGTATGACAGCTCTGCCTGGAGCAAGTGACTTGAAGTGGGGTGCAAGTCACCCCAGAGGGTCACCTAAGCATGAAGAATGCTTACTCACAAAGGGTCTCTGGGCACTCCTTCTGACACTGACCCTGACTTCCTCCATGGCTTTCTTCTGCTGCACTATGTAAACCCTTGTTCTGGGGGCCTGCCAGGGTAAGGGCCTGCTCTGTGCCAAGTGTGGTAGTGGGCATTTACATGTGTGTAAAGGCACGGTCACTGGAGCTTGGGAGTAAAGGTTCTGGAGTCAGAGGACAGACCTGAGTTTGTACCCTGGCTCTGGCACTATGTGACCTGGGGCAGAGGTGGGAGGGGTGCTTCTACCTCTCTGAGCCTGTTTGCTGATCTGCAGGAGGAGAATGGTAATGGAACCAACTTCACAGGTTGTGCTGAGAATTGGGCACAGAAAATGTTAGCTCATGATGGTCTCCCTTAATCTTCATGCCTTTTGTACTGATGAGGAAACTAAGGCTCAAAGATTTGCCCAGGGTTGACAGCAGATGGTAGAGCTGGAGCTCAGGCTCTTTACCCTTGACCATGGCAAAGTCATTCCACTTTTATGCACCCATGTTCTGCGCAGCTTTCTTCCCTGTGGCCTGACAGGCACAGGTATAGAGGAGATCGAGGTTGGGGGGCAGGCAGGGGACCTCCTCTTGCTGCTCAGGCCTCCAGGTGAGTAGTGCTTTGTAAGAAGCAGCCTGCTTGCTTTGTTGTTCCCCTCCTGCCATGCACAGATACTGCTTCCTGACTGTGGCCCCTGCCTGTCCATGGACATGATCAGGGGCTTGGAGGGGGGCAGGACTAATGTTTCCAGTTCAGGGCCAGGTTCTCTGCTGTAACGCTTGACGGGTGCTATCAGCTGGCAGATCTTGTGGTGGTCACAAGGCCACATTCACAGGGCCTCAGCAGTTTAGGGTTACCCTTTCCTCTGCTACTGATACCAAGGGGCCTGAGCCTCTATCCCACACACTCCACAGAACCCGGCAACTTACCCAAGATTTCATGTAGATGGCTTAGAGGTTTTCTTTTTTTTAATCCAGCTCAGAGTCTTTGCCTTAAACCAGAGCAATGTAATTAATGGTATTAATGTGGGTCTAAATCATTTTATGCTTTGTTTATTCCTCCTGGTCTATGTTTATTTTTCCCTCCTCTATCACTTTTTTTCCTACTTGTTTGGAGGTTACATGCTGTTTCGCTTAGTTGAGGGGTTTCCTTCTCCTTGAGGTTTCTCAAGATGACCAGACTGCTTTAAGTTGGCCAGTCCCCTCTCCCTGTAATTCTTGCTCCCATTAATTCTTCCTTGTGTTCATTTCTTACCTCTTGTTTGCTGTCCTCTTTCCCCCTTCTCTTCATACATTCACCACAAAGGGTGCAACAACCTTTTACTTAACCCTGTAGGTAATGGGGGTTGAGGGGGATTCATATTGCTGAGCTTCTTAGAGCCCAGCCCCTTGGCCATGAGAATTCTCTCCCTGCCCATGTCCCTCCTTAGGTCTTAGCTGGTCGCTACACTGGGTCCTCTCTAACTCCAGGTCTTCTCTCCCAGAGCCCCACTCCCTGCCCCTCACCATCCTGGACCACCCTACCTACCCTCTCTCTGTCACTGTCCTCACCTTGCCTGGTTTTTTTCCCTGGCCTTCTTGTTACCTGAACTCATGGTTAAATCTGCTTACTTGTTAACTGTCTCTTTCCCAATAAGCTCCACAAGGGTGTCCTGCTTACCAGGGTTGTCTGAGGCTGGGGCTGGCACACAGCAGTGAAGACAACAGGAGTGAATACTTGTTGAACAAATGGGTGAATGTTCCTCAGTGGGAACACCCAGCTATCAGGGTGGTCCCAGTGCAGCTGGTACAATGAGGAGGAAGAGAAGTCTCCTGGGATCCCACCCCCCACCCCAGGTGCCCACCCTCTGGGTCCTAAAGGGCCCCCCACCTATGGCTGAAAAACCGGACTCAGGGGAGCAGGTAGATTAATGTACTAACGTTTTTAATACAGTCTGATCAGATCAGTTCACATCACCAGGTCAACCTGGGCCTGCTCACGTGACACAGCCGAGGCACACAGTGTCCCCACCTACCAGCTCTCCTGCCTTCCTGGCTACCAACAACACTGAAACCCCCTACACCTCCCTGACCAGACTGGCATTTTTAAAATTTTGCATAAAACTATTTCTTCCATAGACTTCAAACAATCAACTAGCCAAGTTAATTATGGTACATCTAAACAAAGTTTAATACTAACCCTAATGTGTGACTGCGGTTTACAAAGAGCTCTGTATCACCTGGGATAGCTTTCAGTAGCAATTCACTACAACTGCTCCTAAAAAATAATAACAATAATAATAATAATTAGAGAATTAAAACCCAACAGCAAGTTGAATGGTTAAAATCACATAAGAACTGCAATTTGGGGTGGGGGTGTCCTCAATAGCTGAGCTTGTCCTAGTAGCAAAATGCCAGCCTCCAGGTAGGGCTCAGAAAGGTCTGGGGCCCTCCAGGTCAAGGGTCAAGCTCAGGGGCTCTCAGAGGGCACTCACCCCATGGTCCATGGGATGCTGTAGGTTTCCAGCTTCCTTGAAAACAGTTGGGCATCAGCATTGTGTAAGTGTGTGGAGACCCTAATGTGGTTTCTCTCGAAGGATATGAGAAGGGGGAGGGGACCCAAATCACTGAGGTCCCAGAATGCCATCAGGTGTGGGTTTGGGATTGGGGTCACTAAGAACTGAGCACCAGGAATTCCAGCTTCCGCCCATTAAAGAAACCGGGACTGGTGTTGCCTTGGAGGCCTATGTAGTGTTTTCTCCCCTTATCCCATACCAGGTCTCGCAGATATTCCTGCAGAGTATCAGATGAGAATCTATTTCTAAAGACCACTGAGGGGATGGGTGGTGGAGTAGGGGTGGGTGGGGTGATAGGTTGGGGGGAAGGGGGAGTTAAAAACGAATAAAAATCTCTCAGCTACAGAACCCAAAGACATTACTTTCCTCCGCATTCACAGCATTTCTCAGCAGTCCCTGGTGGCCATTTCCGTGGGGACACCGCATCTGCCTCACTTCCCCTCAGGCCCCATGGGTTGCTGGTCAACCTCAGGATCTACTAAAGATGATGCAAACGCTGACTGAACAATCTGAAACCCAAAGGACTCGAGGAGAGACATGTTCTGCTGGGGAGAGAAAGGTGAGCCAAGGGCAGGACCCAGGTCCCCCAGGGGGCCCCCGAGGGCTCGGACATGCACCTTCTGGATGTGTTTGTTCAAGTAGGACTTAGAGCGGAAGAAGCTCCCGCATTCAGGGCAGGGGTACTTCTTCTCCCCATCAGACTCCATTTTGTTTTTGGGGCCTGCCATGTCGCAGGAGAAGGAGCCGTTGGCGCTCTGCTTCTCAGGCGTCTTCAGGTCACTGGCGTCCGAGAGGTCACCATAGGAGTCGGAGCTCTCAATCGGATCCTGATGTGAGCATTTCTGGCCTTCTAGGAAAAAACAAAACACACAGGACAGATGAGGCCAGGCTTTGGAGATGCCCCCTCCTGGAGGAGTCGGGAAGGGCCAGCTCACAGGCCTGTGGAGGGCAGCGGATGGCCAGCCACCGCCCTGGCAGAACCCCCGGAGGTTCAGCTGGTCGGTCTGGGAGCCTGGTGTGCCTATGGGGGTGAGACAGCAGGGCCCTGGGGCTGCCAGCCTCCCTCGCCGCGGACTCTTCATGCAGGTGCACGTGTATGGCTCACCACCATCTCAGCCTGCTTCGAGGAAGAGGGTATGGAGAGGGGACCTCCACTGCTTCCACCCAGAACAACTCAGAGACCCCCAGCTCCTAGGCGCTCTGTTGGCTGCCCCTGGGGGTAAGACGGCTGTTCTGATGATGCTGAGCAGGTATATCAATGGCCTCACCTCCACACCAGACCAGCTGCACCCTAGCAAGGCAGAACCAGAGCCGAGAGGTCCTCAACCCAGCAGACCCCACT